CAGTAGACTTTTTCAAAATTTCTATTTATTGTCTTTTTTTAAAATAATTTTTTATTGTTATGTTAATCACCATACATTACATCATTAGTTTTTGATGTAGTGTTCCATGATTCATTGTTTGTGCATAACACCCAGTGCTCCACGCAGAACGTGCCCCCCTCAACACCCATCACCAGGCTAACCCATCCCCCCACCCCCCTCCCCTCTAGAACGCTCAGTCTGTTTTTCAGAGTCCATCGTCTCTAATGGTTCATCTCTATTTATTGTCTTTTAAGCAAGATCTGTATCTATGTCTTTCTGAGAGTTTATATAATTTATTAGTTCACTCAGCCTAGTATAATGCTCACTCCAGTCTTCTGTTTCTTATAGTAACTGTAACATACTCTTCTCAAATCTAGTATTTTCTTTGTAAATCCCATAGAGTTTAGATTCTCACTTTATCATAACTTAGTTTAGCTTCATTTTTTCTCTCACATATTATGAAATTCTTTGTAAAATCTTTGACTTTCAATAGGTATGTTTTGCCAAATATCTTTTCCATTTACTTAGATTCTATTCTGTCTCAGTTCTCAATATAACAGATGTATTTCCCACAGCATTTGGTATATATATTCTTAAGATTTATTTATTTATTTTAGAGAGAGAGAAGGAGAGAGTGTGACACAAATGGGGGGAGGGGCAGAGGGAAGAGGGTGAGAGGGAATCTTCAAGCAGACTTCCTGCTAAGTGCAGAGCCCAGTGTGGGGCTCGATCTCAGGACTCTGAGATCATGACCTGAGCTGAAATCAAGAGTCAGACGCTCAACTGACTGAGCCAACCCAGGCGCCGCTGTTTTATTTCTTTAAGGCTTTGACTAAATATTTAAGACAGACATGTTCAGAAATATTCTTTGTTTCTTGATTTCTTCAAAAGATATCATTGTTTTTTTAATCACTTTTTCATAATTTAATATCTTTTAAATTATTTTTATAGTTGATTTCAAACTAGTTTTAAACATTAATGTGATTTGTTTTTATTGATAAATTCTACTGTTTAAAAGGAACATTCTTCAGGGGAAAATGAGAAACTAATTCCAATAAACAAATAATAATTAGAGATTTCTGAAATTTATTATAAAAATCAGGACTAAGCTCTTCTGACATCTTTCCTTACTTTCTAAGTACCTTCCACTGTAATTTTCCCTCTGGTAGTTATTAACATTTTCTCATTATTCTTGAACATTATTAAGTTTAAGTGTGATTTCATTTCTTTATTATTTTTTTTTATTGCCACTTGGGGTATAAGTTCAACCTCAGGACTCCTATATTCTGGAAAATTCTCATCTATTATCTCTTAAAACAAGGGCTTCTCTATCATTTCTTTTGGGTTCTCTTATTGATATAAGTAAAATTTTGCTTCTTGACATAAATAAATAGGTTGGCAGATAGGTAAATAGATATCTAAATAGATACGTCTATGTCTTAGTCCATTTGGGCTGCTATAACAAAATACAAGAGACTGGGTGGTTTATAAATAGCATAAATGTATTTCTTACAGTTCTGGAAGCTGAGAAGTCTAAAATGAAGGTGGTAGCATGGTCACCTTCTGGTGAGAGCCCTCTTCCTGGTTCATAGCTGGTGTCTTCTCACTCTATCCTTACAGAGTGGAAAGGGCTAGGGGTCTCTGTGGGGTCTCTTTTATAAGGTAATAATCACATTCGTGAGGGCCCCAGCATCATGAATTAATTGCCTCCCAAAGGCCCCACCTCCTAATACCATCATTTTTGGGAGTTAGAATTCATCAGTATATGAACCTGGGGAGCACACAAACATTCAGAGCAGAATAGGTAATAGGTGATAGCTGATAGATAGATAGATAGATAGATAGATAATCAATATTGGATTTGTCTCTGGGCTGCATTCTGCATCTTCTACATCAATTCTGTCTTCAACCATATCCAGGCTAGCATTTGAATGGTTTGTTCTTTTTTTTTTTTTTAATTTCAATGACTATTTTTCTTTCTATCATCTTCAAGGTTTCTAAAGGGTTCTTTCAAATACATTTTTTTTCTTATTTATCTTTAAAATCCTTGCTCTTTAATGGATATTACTTCTTCATTTCTCTCTTAAAGTATATTTAACATACCAACTTTTGTCTGATTTTTTTTTTAAAGATTTTATCTATTTTTTGACACAGAGAGAGAGACAGCGAGAGAGGGAACACAAGCAGGGGGAGTGGGAGAAGGAGAAGCAGGCTTCCCGCCAAACAGGGAGCCCGGTACGGGGCTCGATCCCAGGACCCTGAGATCATGACCTGAGCCGAAGGCAGATGCCCAACAACTGAGCCACCCAGGCGCCCCTGTCTGATTTTTTTTTTAAGATTTTATTTATTTATTTGAGAGAGTGTGTGTGTGTGTGCATGCATGCAGGGTGAGGGGCAAAGGGAGAGGGAAAGAATCCCAAGCAGATTTGCGTTGAGAGTGGAGCCCAGGACTTGGGGCACAATCCCATGACCCTGAGATCATGACCTGATGATCTGAACTGAAAACAGGAGTCGGACGCTTAATGGACTGAGCCACCCAGGCGCCCCAGTCTGATGGATTTTAAAAATTAATTTTACCTGGAACGAATTCATGATCCTATTGTTGAGTACTGCCTTTCTCAACCTTAGATTTCTTCATATGTTTTGGAATTTTTGTTTTGTGTACCCACTATGAGTAGGAGGTATTTTCTTTCTTTTGCTGTAGTTTTCTCACTATGAATGCCTTTCTCTTCTCTGCACTCACCCTTTCTTATCTAGCCCTTTTATGTTCATCTTTACCTGACATCCTCAGCCTTCTAGACCAGATTGGTCCTAAACTAGCATTTCTGGACTTCTGTCCCAGATTTATGTTGTAGATATCATAGAGTTAGGCATCCAACCAGCAGATGCTTACTTCATTTTCTGATTGAGAGATTATATCTGTATTCTTCAGCCTTTAAGCCAGAGACCTGGGATTTTTTTCAGCTTGTCTTCAGCATTTCTAAGCCACTGACTCTGGTTAGAGAACTCTTGAGTATTTATTCTCCAGAAATAGTACTTGTGACCATCATTCCTATGTCTAGAACTGGAGCCCAGCAGGCTCATGGCTTTATCCCTGCTTTCCACTTTGCATTTCTGGTCCATTTCTAGCCTGTGGACATGCCTATTTCTTTTTTGAATACAAATTATTCTAAAAACTTTTTCTTTTTTTCTCTTTTTATAATTGACCTTATGTTTTGAGTAGTAGGAACAAATCAGAACCTAAACTCATGGTGCCTACAACATGGTACTAATGCATTTTTCATATGTATTATTTGAATCTTTTCAACTTCTTTGCCTCTTCAGGGCAGATATACATCTTATACATAGCCTATATCCCCTACTTAATGCAGACCACAGACATCATAAGTATATAGTTGTTGCTAACTCCTTCTTAGTTTAAGTGATTTTGTTTAGAAAAGAAAATCTGATTCCTAATCTTAAGGACATTGTATATATCAGAATATGTCAATATATTTCTGTGGATGTGTGTTTGAGTGTGTGTGTGTATAAATAAGTATGTCTTTCATACCTATTAGGGTGTACTGAGTTTATTTACCTGTGTACGTGATTCTCCTTCCGCTCTTAGTTTGGCCAAGAATATCCTGAATAGGATCCAAGAAATTTTTCTTTATTCAAAAAGAAGGAAAGAAAGAAAAGAAAGAAAGAAAGAAATGTATCTTTATTCCAGAATACAGAGAGAAATCTGAAATTTTGAATAACAATTTTGGACTCTGCTGCAAAAATTCTCCTAATATTTTCAGTCAATTTTATTGCTTGATTGTTTTTAATCTCTTATAAAACACAGATAGCCACACTTATTCTGTGTAAAGGCTTGAGGGGAAACTAACTGGCCCACTGATGTTTCTATTCTCATGATAGTGTTTCCATGTGGAAGTTGGTAGCTCAGGATCATGTCGAGAGCCGGCTGGCTGCTAAGGCCTGTGCAGATTGTGTCTTGAACTTTCTAGACTTTGGAAGTCATCAGTCCAACTTAGAAGCTCATTCTTTAAAGCCAGGAGGGTCTGTATTTTCCTTGGCCCCTTTCTTCCAGCAAATGTTATAAGACTTTAATTCTCATTGTGGGCTAATTATTCTTTTCTATTTGCCTGAACCATAATTCAGTGGGAACTATTCCTACTCAAAGAAATGAGGGCAGAAATTATATAATTGAGAATAATGGCTGGAAAGCCATGAATGTCTAGAATCCTGTGTTAAGTCTGATACATACTAGCTTGGTGGTCTTTATAGGCAGTTCACTGGGAAAAAAATTTTTTTCTTCCACTTTCAAAGTGGGATCATCATAAAGATTAAGTATTTACTGACTGACAATAATGAACCAGCTCCTTAGAAAACTGAGACCTATTGTTAGTACCTAAACACTTCCCAATTAAAAGAGTATGATTTTAACTCAGCTGGTTCTCAATTAGAGAAATTCCAATATATGAAAATTCATATTTAATAAAATAGAAATATTGTAAGGATTATTTCCATTATGAATATATACATTTAATTAACTGCCAACTAAATATTTTTAAGGGCATCATGATGGCCCTGACTGAAGAGAAACTATAGTCATTTGTACTTGGTGCTTTTAATTATTAATATACTGCAACCTTTAGAAAAAAAATTTTCCTAAGAAACATGAAATCTCAACACCACCAATTTGCAATTAAAGTCTTTCTTTATTAATGTTATCCAGGCAGGATGAATAAAAATTCTAAATGTTTAGCATTCTTAAGTAATGCTAGATGATTAGACATCTGGTGTAGGTTTTATAATTAAATGAGGCTTAAGAGTTATGCTGATAGGATAATGCTGGCCTTTACAAATATCTGGTCCCTTTCTTGAAGTTGTTAGTTAAAAACAGTGATAAAATACGTAGAAATTATTTACTAGCCATTTTGGAACAGGAAACAAAATATTAAACCATGTTCAAAAAATTATTCTTTGTGTTTTAGGCCCTCCAGGGAAACGAGGTAAGAGAGGCCGAAGGGGAGAATCTGGTAAGTCTCTCTTTCAGCTGCTCCACGTCACTAATGTTTTGGTTAGATTCCTGCATCTGTTCCTCCTAATTAATGATTATATTGTCTTGCCGGAGGTTGCGCGTAAGCTTGTGTGTTTAAATCGCCTCTGCTAGACCTAGAATTTTTTTTAATCTTCTTATTTCCATCAAACTGTAGGTAGAAGTTTGGAAAATATTGTTGATTTGTTATGTCTGATAACCACTGGCACCCAGTTTTGGGTTATTTACTGTGTCAGGTTAAGTTCGTCCTTTGTGCATACAGTGGAGGGTTTCTCAGCTGCATGCAATGTGGCGATACACCCATGCTTCCGTCTCCACAGATAGCAAATGCAGGATCTTTATGAAAACATCTGCTTTGGGGCACTGGGGCACATGTCTTGGAAACCTTTATTGTTATTTTATCCAACTGGTACAATTTTGTCATGCTTTTACTCTCATTCATTTCAAAATTTGGAATTTTTATTCCTCTTGTATAACCCTAGAATTTTAGTGATGACAGCAGCCTCAGTAATCAATCCAGCATTTTCATTTTGTAGTTGAGGAAATGGAGGCCCCGGAGCGGTCAGGTAATTCGGCCAAGGCCACGCAATATTTTATGAGCAGAATTTGAAACAGGACCAATTGTCCTGATGCCCACTTCAGTGAGTTTTTGCTTTCTGGCCAAATCTCTATATGTATCTTCCTCTTACCGTGCAAGGAAGAATTGATGGCCTGATAAGACTTCACATGGTCATTTACATTTTTTGGAGTCTTAGACTTTATAAAACAAGCAAGACAGTAAGTGCACACACTCATTTGGATATTTGGTTTCAAAAAAATTTTTTTTATTTGAGTTTTTTTCTTTACTTTGCAAAGGTAATTTAAGATTTCATTCTAGTGTGCTAAGAAATGCTCTTCTCCAGTATTTTTTAATAAGTATTTATCAGTGTTAAAAACAACCAATTTCTAAGTGTTAAAGTAGTAGAAATACTAACCTACCAAAAAGAGCAGCAGATTGATTTGTTGTGTTTTTGTTTTTTTGTCTCATTTCCTTTTTTGAAAAAAAAAGGAAGATGTCGAAGTAAAAGGAATTTATGAAAATTCAGTAATTTGGGCAGTGTACTTGCTTAATTCCCTTAAGAGTGTTCTTAAAAGTTATCTTTAAACCTCATTTAATCTAAATAATTGGATACTTGTATAGGTATCCCTTTCACCTTACGAAGTTTTATATTAGAGGATGGTTTATAAATGTGTTTTAAGGAATAAGAAATAATGAAACATTAGTGGAATCAAATAATCAGTGAACTGATCTTTGTCAAAAGAAATACAAAGGATTGGGGGAAAAAAAGTAAAAATTTTGTACTGATGTGAAGTTTTATAGAAAAATTAAAAAGTCAGTTCCTAACTTACTAGCTACTAAAAACTTGTGTTTTAATTGCGTATACAGTGAGGATATATTGAAATTTTCTAGACTTTTCCTGTGTTTTGATGAGAATACAAAGTTTTAAAGAAATATAAATACCAGGGTTTAGTCTTTTATATATTGACAATGCTACTGAATGAAAAAACATTCTTAGAACAAATAATGGGTACATTTCTCATTGAACCATTTTACCAAACTCAAGAAAGTTATATATCAATTCTGTCTAACTGGGCTATCATAAACAACCAAAGATCCTCCTGATTCATGTTTTATCTAAATTTTTAAGTATACATAAGCCACCTTAAGATGAACCTCTCAGTAATTCATAGACAGGCCTCAGGGAATCTGAACATTTACTGAAATTTTATGTAAAATTTTGTGTGCAGATAGATGTAAATGCACTTCTCTGATATGGTATCAAAGTTGTCCATGAACTAAAAAAAAAGATTAAGATTCATTGAATTCTAGATGACTTCATCATCTTGTATTTTGCTAATGATTGTGACAATGCTTTCATCTTATATTTAATCTTAATATTTTGCATCTTCACTAATTCATCTCCCCCTTTCTCTTATTCTCTCCACCCCACCCCCACCCCACAGGTCCTCCCGTAAGTATTTTTGTTGCATTTGGGTTCATGTACCTTAATCGGGATCACGTATGTTAAAACTTTGTTAAGGCATCAAAATATAGTCTATATTTCAATTAGAAAAATGTTACTGACCTTTGAAGAGTATTTAACGTTGTGAAATTATTTTTCTGGTACACTATTTTGGATATGTTGAAGTGCAAAACGTGTCAATTTAAAAAAAACCAACTTTATTTTTAATACTATCACAGCCAGTTACTCTCCTGGGACTTTTGAATAACTTATGAAGCTCCTGATGTTAAATCTTTTCCTGGAATTCTGAGGTTTCTCTTGCAAGCAAATCCCCAAGCTATTTTGCACTTCTTTTTTCATCTGTTTAAACTTGTATCTGAAATATTTGCATTTGCCAGTCCACCGAATGTAGATGGCAACATGATCATGGAAATGATACCCCCCATGGGCTTGGTCCGGTACTCCCTCCTTAGGCAACACTCCCTTTGAAGTCTGTTGGAGTTTGCCTGTATAAAGAACATGAGATGGAGCCCTTGGAGAGTTGCACTTTCTTTTTTCTTTCCTGGAGTAGGTCAGAGCTGCAGCATTCCAGCCTGCTTTGCACTCACAGGAACAGATTATCTTGTCAGCTTTGAGCTAGATGTGTTTTTGAGTAATAATATCCTGGATATCTGTTGTCTGACCCCAGTGTTTGCATTGTCCACTGTACGTTTACGGTAGCAATGATCATTGGCCTTGAGATATTTTCTCATCCCAAATAGCCAGTTTGCTCCAGGGTTCAAAGACTCCACATTGGCAACTTATCTAACAGGCCAGCATGGTCCGGGGAGAGGGGCTTAACATATACTCGTTTACTTTATTCAAAGGAAGCATTGGCTTCCAAATATCTTTTGCAGTCTTCCTGCCACGTTCAAGGGTGGAACATAAATCATGTTAGAAGTGACTTTGCTTCTGTAACTGACTTTCAGCTCCTGCTTAATGCTAGGCAGATGGCATGGCCCAGGTCTAGGAGCCTTATTCTTTGGCTTCATATGTGAGCCTCTGTCTTTAAAACTAGAAGGAAACCATTACTACCCAGAGGAAACTCTGGGAATTACAGCCAGTATAGAGTGTTCCAGGCTTTTGTTGGTGGATGTAAGTATTAGACATGCCAAGAGGTAGTTAAATCTTGCTTTTGTTGTATGGTGACAGTCCGGGTTCCAGATTTTCCTCTTTGGCCCTTCAGAAGTTTCAGCAGCCACACAGACCCTCCTTTCTTGGGGCCATCTATTAGTCCAGGTTCTCCACTAAAGATTTAATTGTTCTTTCCTCTCTTATTATATAAAAAGAAAATAGAACTAATATGTTTAAGCCCTGAGTACAGGCATACCTGAGAGATATTGTGGGTTCGGTTCCAGACTACTGCAATAAAGTGAATAACACAATGCTTATAAAAGTTATGTTTACATTATACTGTAGTGTCTTAAGTGTGTAATAGCATTATGTCCAAAAACAAAACAAAACAAAAGGTACCTGCCTTAATTAAAAAATACTTTATTGCTAAAAATGCTAACCATCATCTAAGATTTCAGTGAGTCATAATCACTGATCACAGATCCATAACAGATGTAATAATAATAAAAAAGTTTGATATATTGTGAGAATTACCAAAATGTGACACAGAGACACAAAGTGAGCAAATGCTGTTAGAAAGTGGTTCCTATGGACTTGCTTGACACAGGGTTGCCACAAACCTTCAATCTGTAATAAAAAAAAAAAACCCACGATAGCTGTGAAGCCCAATAATGTGAAATGTAATATAATGACATATGTCTGTATGGCAAGTAATATTCTAGGCACTTCACACACATACTTTCATTTTGTCTCACATAAATCCTAGTGTTAACATTCCCATTGCTCAGTGAGGAAAAGACTCATAGAGGTTAATTATCAATAGTTGCACCTCTAGAGAGGGTTGACAAAGTTGGAATTATTTAGATGTGTCTGATTTTAAACCCTTTCCACTTACCACACTCTCTCTATCCCTTATGAATTATGAATGTGTTACAACATGGATCATTGTCACACAGGTTTGTCAGGCTATGGTCAAATCATATTCCTTGATATAAGTAATTATATATAATAAAAACATGTCTAAAAAATGTAAAGCAGCTAATCTATAAAATGAGCATTCATACTGTCCCATCTTGACAACGTTTTGAAGAAGTTATAATGTGTTTAGCAAACTGCATCAAACCCAAGAAATAAGGTATAATTATGAGTTTTAATAATAATTGAGTTTATAATTTAATAATTTTAATAATTTAATAATAAATAATAATAAATGCGTTTAATAATACTGACTAAAAAATAATTGAAGTCACTCACATTTGGAAAGATGAAGAACCATTGATTGTGAAAAAGAGGAAAAATATGTATTGATCATGTTATCTTTTCTAATACAATGGAGTCTTATAGTACTTGGGACCCCATATCATGGGAACCCTTATGGGTGAAATACCTTATAATGAAATCCTCTTGAGCCTCTAATTTCTAAACCCTTATATATGATTTTCAAGAAGTATTTGCCTTTTATCAAATTTAACTTTAGAGTTATAAAATATTTCCATTATATTTCTTGCATCTGAATAAAAATAAATGAACAGTGGCATTATTATGATTAAATAGCTTTACCAATGATATATTTATTGAGGTATAATATCTAATTATTGACAATTATAATTTGAAGTGACCATACTCATCCTAGTTTTAGCATCATTTAATTTTATGTGTATTTTCCCCTTCCATTTCTTTTCCCTGAACTGAAATCTTAAGTTTCTGTAATTTTATTTTTAGAGAAATTTTATTTCCTAATTTTGTATTTTTAAAAAATATATTTAACTATCTTCATAAATAAGAAGTTGGATGAAATATTAAAGCTTATGCTGCCATTTAACGGCAGTTGCCCTTGCCTGCATCCTGTAAATTCAGTGTAAAGCACAAAGGTAGTCTGAGAAGTTCCATGGTCTTACTTTTGGTGAGCAATCCATGGCACAGAGCCTGTGCCAGAATCCTTGGCAAAAGTAAATTCCTCCAGCTCCTTCTAGCCATGAGCTTCTGTGGTCCCATGGCTTCGCATGTACAGAAAGATTATGAAGTACAACCTGGTGTCCTGGTGTGTGTTTTCTTGTCATTCACTTTCACTTGTGAAATGTGCTCAGTAGTGTAAAAAACAGCATTCACGCACTTATGAAACAAACAAATAAAAGATTGATTGACCTGAGAGACAGTAACAGATCTCTTTTGCCACTAAGAGTCACCTTTTTCATTGCCTTTCTGAAATAATACCCTGAAGTAAAATTTTTAAAAAAAGCATAATGATAAAATTTAATTTAGCAACCTTACATTTACATCTTCATTTGATGTATTTTGGAGAACTTGGATACATTACACTAGAATTATGTGTGGCTAAAGTGTTTTTTCTCTGTCAGTTTCTATGTCTTGCATATTGAGATCATTTATAATTTAAAGCTTGAAATATAACTTGAATTAGATCCCACATACCAATTTGCCCTTTAGGAAGAATCTATTCAGCTTATAACTCAGTTACCCATTTTGACAAAAAGATATCGTGGGGCGCCTGGGTGGCTCAGTTGGTTGAGCGACTGCCTTCGCCTCGGGTCATGGTCCTGGAGTCCCGGGGTCAAGTCCCGCGTCGGGCTCCCTGCTTGGCGGGGAGTCTGCTTCTCCCTCTGACCCTCTTCCCTCTCGTGTTCTCTATCTCTCATTCTCTCTCTGTCAAATAAATAAATAAAATCTTAAAAAAAAAGATATCGCTACCATAGGAGTCTCTATTATAAAAGGCTACAATGGAGTAATTTTATGATAACATAATTTACTTTTACATGAACATCAGATACTTTTTTCTATTTTCTTTTTCATAAAGGTAACATGTATTAAAACAGTGCTCTAAAGGAATCCATGAAAGTGCTTTGATCACCTAGCTCAGATATCACGAATATGTTTGCTAGAATGATTTGCCTGACCGTTGTGTTACCTGATTGCCTATGGCATGAAATTGTACCTTCTATTCTGGATGTCTTAAAAATACATTCATGTTTCAATAAGAAGCAAAAAGTAAGATTAAATTTACAAAGTGACTTCAAGTTTTCAAAGTAGCAAATTTTGCACTATTTTGGACCCTTTTTAGAATCAGTAGGGGATGTGGTTTCTCTGTCCTTTGTCCTCAAAGGAGATGCTATTCTAATATTCATAGGTAGCAGATTCAAACGAGTCCTATAACTGTAGCCAGAAAAGAGTCAGGAGACCTGTTTTAACTGGGTTTTTATTTGTATCAGTCTATCAAGCCGTATAATTGTGCTTGACTGACAGAGATATGATGTTATTGTTGGTAGCATAGAACCCTCTGAGGTGTGAAATACGACGCTCTTGGGCAGCCTGTTCTGTCCCATCTACCTTCAGCAATTGTCAACTCAGTTTGAAGTCCAGAATCTTGTTGACAGATGAATGAAGCAGACTTAGCCAAGTTAAGCTTACAATGCTATTTCTGCCAATGTGGTAGATGAATTAGGAAAAGAAATCTCTGAGGAAATTTTAGATGAAAAACTCTGATATCTTTACTTCATATTGAAAAAAAAATATGACTTTTAAGTCAATAGTAAATCTTTTCCAGATATGCTAATAATTACAGTTTATGGTAAACTTCCTACCACGTGTCACTTTACAGACCAATTCTCATACCAGGACCGTGAACTAGAGATTTATTATACCCATTTTACAGACTAAGAAACTGAGGGTTGGGCAGGTCAAGTAATTTTGCCCAAGCACTCACATTTAGCAGGAAGCAGAACCAAAATTTGAACCCATGCCATCTCTATCTCTCTTCAAAGCCCATCCCCCCCCATATTTCTATAAGATGTTTTTCAGGCAAGTAAGGTTTAAGATTTACCACTTTCTTTGCAAATACCTTCTTTGTTGTGTCTTATCCTACCCTCTGTTATCTGCAGTTC